AAGTGCATTTTCCATGAACTTTGTGAAGATCTCTCCTATCTATGTGGTTGAGTCTCAGAGGAGAGAGAATGAATCAGAAACAATATCCAAAGAAATAATGGCTATCACTTCTCCAAAGACAGAAGACATGAAGCCATAGATTCAAGAGGCTTTAAAACCCACGTCTATGATACCCAGCTAAACATAAGTGTTCTTGGAAAAATCAGAGACAGAAATCTTAAAGTCAGTTGGAAGGAGGAAAAAAGTATAAAACAAAAACCGTAGAAGCTGGACAATCTGGCATCTTTTAAAGTTCCAGTCCAGGGGCCGGCAGGTGGCATGGTGGTTAAGGTGCTGGCCTCCCACCTGGCTGGCGGAGGTTGAGTCCCAGACCTGGCAGCTTGCATGAGTGTGCATGCCCAAAATCCCAAGAGGAGAAAGGGACTGCGGTATGGCCATCCCTCCTGGGGAGAATGATTTCTCACTTTCCCTTACTCTAGTGAGCACGTGCGGCCTATAGTAAAAACCTTTATGAAAAAAGAAAAAATTAACAGGAGCCAGCAGATGGCCTGGTGGTTAAGATGCTGGACTCCCACATGAATGACCATGGTTTGAGTCCTGGACCTACATGAATGAGGTTTGTGTCCGGGCCGTGGTGGCTGGGCTTGCTTCCTCACTTCTCTCTCTCTCTCTCTCTCTCTCTCTCTGGTGAATAAGAAAATAATGATGAGGGCCAGCAGGTGGCATGGTGGTTAAGGGCACTGGACTCCCACATGGCTGAGTCCTGGACCTGGTGGCTTGCCTTCTCACTTCCCCACCACCACCCCTTCCTGTCTCTCACTCTGTCCCTCTCTGGTCAAAGTAAAACAAATAAGTAAATAGATAGATAGATTAAAATAAATAAGTAAGTAGATGGATAGACAGATGGACAGATAGATGATGGGTAGATAGATAAAATGATCCTTGAAAAATATTTTAAAATACAGTAGCATAAAAAGTCAGAAAAGGGACAAACGGAGTTAGTGCTCTAAGGTTCTTGCTTTGTTTGGGGAAAAGGTAAGAATGTAAGTGTTGGACATTAGGCCAAGGATGCTTACAGGGTGACCACTAAAAGAATAGTAAAAGTGAATACAACATCCAAGCTAATAGAGAAAATTTAATATTTTAAATATTTGCACAATCTAAAGGTAAGAAAAGAGAGAACAAATAGAGCAATAGAAAATGCTTAGTATTTTAGTAGTATTAACCTGAGTATGTCAGAATAATGTTAAATGAAAAGGAATGTACATGCTAATTAAAGGACAAAGATCATCAGATCAGCAGAAACAAAACAACTGGGGTGGAAATGGGGTGGAAGGGATAAGAGGGGGGAAGAGTCTGCATCTACCTTTTTTGTATAATTCTGACTTTTTTTTTTTTTTTTTTTTTTTTTTTGAGAGGTTTTTGCAATAGGGCACGTGCGCTCGCCAGACAGAAAGAGAGAGACAGAAAGCGAGAAATCACCCCCCAAGGGGGATGGTCATGCCGCAATCCCTTCTCCTCCATTCTCCTCTCGGGATCTTGGGCACACACGCACATGCGCCTGGTGTGAGTTTTAAGCCTCCGGGTCCGGGACTCGAACCGTGGTCAACTACATGGGAGTCCAGCGACATAGCCATTACGCTAACTGCTGGTCCCTAATTCTGACTTTTGAACCATATTAATGTTTTTCTGTACATCCACCTCCTGTAGTCAACAGGATGGGAGAGCCCTAAATTGGAATCCAAACAGAAAAATGAGCTTAACTGTGTTTCAGATAAATAACATTATTAATACTAAAGGTCACAGAGATGGTTTTGAACTAGTCTAATTTTTTTATTTTTAGGGTTTTTGCCATAGGCTGCTTTCTCTTGCTGGAGATAGACAGTGAGAGGGAAAGTGAGAAACAACCCTCCAGAGGGGAGGGCCACATTGCAATCCTTTCTCCACTCTCCACCTGGGATTCTGGGTGCACACACACACACACATGCCCAGTGTGATTTTCAAGGTGCTGTGTATGGGGACTCAAATTGTAGTTGACCATGTGGGAGTCCAGCACCTTAACTACTACGCACCTGCTGGCCTCCAGCCCAAGTCACTTTGAACCCAGTATTTAGACTGTGTACCCTCTGGCTGGAGACAAAAAGAACTGTAAAAAGAGTGAATTTTAGTTGGTAGGCTTTTTTTATGTAGTGGACTATCCTAGCAATTCTAAAACTACATTATATTTTATAATTGATCAAATAAGTACAAGGTGTCTAGAGGGAGGCTAGAATGAATCTTCTGTTGGATTGGAATTGTGGTGGTACGTACGAATGCATGGGTTTTGACAGATCTAGAAAGAGAGTGTGTTTGTCTGCTGAGAAGGCCTAGAAGCTGAGGCACAACAGCAATGAGCATGCCTGATAGCCAGATCTCAGTCTCCATGAAAAGATGACCATTGCTCCTTGGAGAATTGATTCCAAGGCTGGGACAATATGCGATGAGTCTGGAAATGTTATACTAGAAGTGTTCAAAGAATGCTGGGAGCATGTCAAGAGATACAGGAATCAGCTGGAAGGGCTCCTACTGGCCAAATCTGGGATATTTTTGAGCATCAAAATAAGTAAAAATAGAGATGGGTTATACATCATCAAATAAGACTCTAAGACTGTATGGATATGAAAGAAAGACTGAAGAAACGAATGCAGAGATAAATAAGGGTGACGAGGAAGCTCTTAAGTAGAATGCCAGCTATTAAGTGAAGAAGGAATGATGAAATTAGAAAATTGGTTTTTGGCAACCCAGTAGAAATTGATTCAGACAATTTGATGAGAAACAGGTTTTTTACATGGTCTCAAAGTATCTTGGAAAATAATAACTTTACAAGAAAGAAAAGTGGTAGACATTAACATAACCAAATTCACTGGGACTAGCAGTTAGCGTAATGGCTATGTTGCTGGACTCCCACGTAGTCTACCACGGTTCGCGTCCCGGACCCGGTGGCTTAAAACTCACACCGGGTGCGTGTGCGTGCGTGCCCAGGATCCTGAGAGGAGAATGGAGGAGAAGGGATTGCGGTGTGGCCATCCCCCCGGGGGGTGATTTCTCGCTTTCTGTCTGTCTCTCTGTCTCTCTGTCTGGCAAGCGCACACACCCTATAGTGGAAAAAAAAAAAAACCTCAAAAACAAAAAGCAAACAAATTCACCACCGTCAGTAATGGGACAAATAAACAGGCCTCACCAAGGGGACGCAGGATTCCGTCCATGGCATTTGTTCCCAAAATGTATAGCCTGGATCTGATCATAAGGAAACCTCAGGCAATCCCAAACTGAGGGACGTTGTACCAAGCATGGTAAGGCAAAGCAAGCCTGAAGAACTATTTCAGATTCAAGTGGACTAAAGAGACATGGCAGCAAAATGTAGTATGTAATCCTGGGTTGAAAATCCTGGACCTGAAGGTGTTTTCTTTTCTAGAACATTATTGAACAAGGCAGGACCAGCAGTTGGCATAAGGGCTATGTCACTGGACTCCTATGTAGTAGACCGCAGTTCGGGTCCCAGACCCGGTGGCTTAAACTCACACTAGGCACATGTGCGTGTGTGCCCAAGATCCTGAGAGAGTGGAGGAGAAGAGATTGTGTTGTGGCCATCCCCTGTGGGGGGTGATTTCTTGCTTTCTGTCTGTCTCTGTCTTTCTGGTGAGCACACACACCCTATAGCAAAAACCTTCCCCCCAAAAATAAATAAATTTGAACAAAGTGTGTAAATAAGATAGAACAATACTTTGTTATCAGTGTTAATTGTATAATTTTTGTGCTTGAACCTGCTTATTTAAGAGAATGCTCTTGGGACCAGCAGTTAGCGTAATGGCTATGTCGCTGGACTCCCACGTAGTTGACCGCAGTTCAAGTCCTGGACCTGGTGGCTTAAACTCAGACCGGGCGCATGTGCGTACGTGCCCAAGATCCCAAGAGGAGAATGGAGGACAAGGGATTTTGTGGCATGGCCATCCCTTCTGGTGGGTGATTTCTCACGTTCTGTCTCTCTGTCTCTCTCTGTCTATCTGGCAAGTGCGCACGCCCTATAGCAGAAACCTCTCCAAAAAAGAAAAAAGAGAGAGAGAGAATGCTCTTGGGACCAGCAGATAGTGTAGCAGTTATGTCACTGGACTGACTCCCACATGGCTAGGTGCAGTTCAGGTTCCAGACCCAGTGGCTTAAAAATCATGCTGGATGCGTGTGCTTGTGTGTGTGTCTAAGATCCTGGGAAGAGAAGGGAGTAGAAGGGATTGTGGCATGGCCATCCCCCCAAGGGGTTGATTTCTCACTTGTCCCTCACTGGTCTGTCTGCCTGTCTCTGGTGAGCACATGCTCCCTAAGGCCAAAACCTTTTTTTTTTTTTTTTTTAATTCTTGTTTTGAGGAAGTATGCACTCAAGTACTTGAGGGATATCAAATCTGCAACTTATTTATAATCAGTTCAGAAAGAAAAAGTGTATAAGTGTGAGGAAAGAGAGGGGGGAACACAGACTGGCCCTCTTCTGTAGAGAAGGCACACCCTTTCCTCTCTCAGGCAGTAAGGCAGCTGTCAAAGTAGATCTGAACTGGACCTGGGTCGCAGCTAATTTCCAGTTACCTCTGGTTTCAAACATATCTATGTATAAGAGGTCTTCAAAAGCTCATGGAAAAATGCCTATTACCAAAAAACTTTGTATGAATTTGAGAATTGTTTTGCACCAAAATAAACTCTTACTTTAATTCTGTTTTTCTATGAGTTTTTCATAGCCCCCTGGTGTGTTATGGCTCCTTTCTCGCAGGACTTTGGGATCTAAGCGTCGCCATCTTAATATCTGGGAGAGCAAGGCCCCTGACCTTGTTTTATTTCTTGGGAAGTCTCTTGGCTATTCTTGGCCTTTTGATCCACTTAAATTTTAGGGCTGACTTGTGGATTACCCAGCTGAGAGAGCGACTGGTCCCCACGTTTGGCTGTTTGTACCATTAGCTGTGTTGTCTGTCTTCTAGCTTTTCAGAAGAGCTGGTGGATGAAGCTCTTGGGTCTGTGGCTGCAGAGCTTCAGGATGCGTGTGAAGATTATGCAGAAGCTGTGTTCACCTCGGAGTTCTTAGAGGCGGCTATGTAAAGGCTTTCCAAGGCAGGGCCCCGTGTCACACTGCACAAGGGACGACGCCAGCCTTTGTTAAGGCCACAGGAACTCTTCATCCTCCGCCATCCATCCAGGCCCAGAAGGTGCTGTCCACTGAGAGAACAGAAATGCCAGGGAGGTCATACTCACTGCATTTTCTCATTGCCAGAGCAGGGGCTCCGGAAGTTTGTGATGGAATACATTACATTTCCCAGTGCCCAGGAAATGTGGATTGATTATGACAATATAATATTTTCCAAATATACAATTCTCCTATCGAATGTTACGCTCATTCCTCTGGTGCAGTTTGGTGGTGCAGGTGTTTGAGAGGGAATAGCTGAGCACACCAAACACCGGCGTGCACGTTGCTCTTGACCCGCAGCAGCATCAACGTCAGCCCAGTGCTGTGACTCTGGCCCCGTCACCCGGCTCCTGTCTTCCGTCCTTGGCAACTTCTCTGTCAGGCATTGTCAGGACGCGTGTGCCAACTGGGTTGCAGGAGTTTTGTAAGCTGCCAGACCTCTGCCCTGTGGAGCTTATGGAAAACAGGAACCCGCCAGTTACACATGCATAGTAATAAACTCAACATTTCTTTAGCCTTCAGTCCCTAGATGACTTGGCATTCCACATTGTCTGCTCCTCACAGTCTTTTTTTTTTTTTTTTTTTTTGCTGTGTGTGGACACATTCTGATATAAAGCACTTTCTCTGAGTCCACAGGCAGTTTGAGAACACCGGGAAGCAATGGGGCCTTCTGTGCCCTGTGCCTGGTTAGAGGTGCAGAGCTTCCTCTAGCTCTGATGCGGTCAGAAGTTTCACCTCCACACCACAGAGAGCCCTGCTGGCAGTGGGGAGCAGGGGCGCAGGGGCGGGGTGGCTGCTCGGCATGACGACCTCCAGGTGTCCCCAGAGAAAGGAAGGCGCCGAAGGGCCTTCAGAGCTCGGTCCTCGGACATCTTGTAAGTTACGTTTTACCAAAAGAAAAGCTGTATTTTCAGGAATTCTGAATTCAGAACAAGAAAAGGACTATGCATAAAAATAAGGCCACTGCCTGGAAAAAGTGCCCCTCAATTTTTTGCCTGAGGCTTAGTGGAAAAAAATGCGAAGAAGGAATGACGTGAGACATACCCCAGGGAGTAATGTGAATCTTTTTATAACACACATAATGTCATCTGGAATTTTTCTCTGAACTGAAGTATTTCAGGTGATAATTTAAGCTGCTCGATCACACTTATTTGTGCAAAATTGATTTTCATTTCATGTTTTCCTACTTAATTTTATATAATTTCAGAATTTAAAGAGTTTCAAGGGAAATTACAGGTCTTCAGTCGGGGAGTTCGATATGTGCACTTGTATGATTGGCGCACCTGTCGCGGGTAGTTTGAAGTACTTCGTGTTGTAGTTTTTACTGTGTGTTTGTCTTTTTAATAAAATCAATATTTTAAAATACACCCATGTCTCTTGCAGATCATTTACATCTCCCTGTTTTTCCACAGGCAGAGTGAAATGGGATTCACAGAAACCACTGAGAATACTTTTAAGTTTGCTCTGAGTATAGTGGATGGTCTCCTTTCCATCCCCCCACCCCACCCCGACCCTACAGAAACAAGCAGACACTAATCACGGCTCGCTTTCACTGCGCACGTGCTGCAGAGCTGCTCCGAGGGCTTCCCGTGCCTTAACTCTCCCAGTCCACATGTCACCATGTGTGATGGGCACCATCATTATTCCCATTTTATACACACGGAAAATGGGGCGCAGAAGAGAGTTGAGTCAGATGTGCCCGTGTTCTGTGATGCCATGGTCACGGATTCACTTATTCCCAGGAAGATCATTGTAACAGTGCGAGAGTTCAGCTGAGTGCGTTTTCCTGCCTCTCCCAGTCCCCGTTCAGGTTGTCCCAGACACTGTCCTCCGGGGCAGTCCCTTTCCTAAGCACTTCCTGCTGCAGCCATTGCACTGAAGGATCGAGTCTGCTCTTTGCCTTGTTGCAGAATCCAGTCTCGTTCCTCCCACCAGATGACTCCCCCATTTCCACCTAGCTGTACACCTTCCTCTAGATCCAGGCCCTGACTGGTGGTTGGGGTGCTGGACTTCCATGTAGCCAATTGCAGTTTGGGTCCCAGGCCTGGCAGCTTGCTTTCTCACTTTCTCTCTCTCTCTGTCCCTCTCTGGTCAGATTAAAATAAATAAAGTTAAACAAAGATAATTCTTTAAAAAAAAAAAAAAAAGACCAGCAGGCGGCATGGTTGTTAAGGTGCTGGTCCCCCGATGGCTGACCATGGTTCGGGTCCCAGACCTGGTGGCTTGCCTTCTCACTTTTTTTTTCTCTCTGTCCCTCTCTGATCAAAGTAAATAAATAAATAATAAAATATTTATTCAAAAAAAAAAAAAAACCCACACACACAAAAGAAGGAATGGATATTGAACCCTTAAAATACAAATTTCTGTAGGCTGATCCCGTCACTCAGTGGTTAAGGGGGTTGGAGCCCACATGGCCGACAATTTTAATCCTGGCCCTGGTGACTTGAAAAACACTGGTGTGTGTGCATGTCCAGAATCTTGACTAGGTAGAAATAGGGAGAAAAAGGATTATGGCATGGCATGCCCCCTTGGGGTGATTTCTTTTTCTGGCAAGTGCACACACCTTTCAACAATAAAATAAAGATTAATTATAAAGAATATAAATATGGGGGCCGGCAGCTGGCATGGTTAAGGTGCTGGACTCCCACATGGTCGACTGTGGTTTGAGTCCCAGACCTGGTGGCTTGCTTTCACTTTCTCGTCAAATTAAAAAAATAATGTTGAGGGCTGGTGGATGGCATGGTGGTTAAAAGCACTGGACTCCACATAGTCAATCATGGTTCGAGTCCCAGACCTGGTGGCTTCCTTTCTCACTTTCCCTGTCTCTGTGTTTCTCTCTGGTCAAATGTGGAAAATAATAAATAAAATAATTCTTTAAAAAAAAGATGATACTGGGACCAGCAGTTAGCATAATGGCTATGTTGTTGAACTCCCATGTAGCTGACCACAGTTCAAGTCCCGGACCTGGTGGCTTAAACTCATGCCGGGCGCATGTGCGTGCGTGCTCAAGATCCCAAGAGGAGAATGGAGGAGAAGGGATTGTGGCATGACCATCCTCCCAGGGGATGATTTCTCATTTTCTGTCTCTGTCTCTCTTTGTCTTTCTAGCACATGCATGTGCCCTATAGCAAAAACCTCTCCAGAAAAAAAAAAATGATACTAAATAAAATTAATTCTTTAAAAATATGTGTGTGTGTGTGTGTTTGTGTGTTCAAGTCCCGGACCTGGCACTTGCTTTCTCACTTTCCATCTCTCTCTTGCTCTGTCCCTCTCTGATCAAATTAAATAAATAAACAAAGTTAATATCATTCTTTTTTAAAAAGATTTATTTATTCATTCTTTTTTTTTATTTTTTTTAATTTGACCAGAGAGAGAGAGACACACAGAGAGCAGCAAGTTACAAGCCACCAGGTCCAGGACTCGAACCATGGTCAGCCATGTGGGAGTGTCCAGTGCCTTAACCACCATGCCACCAGCTGGTCCCTAAATAATATAATTCTTAAAAAAAAAAAAAAAAAAGGAAGAGGAGGGATTGCAGTGGGGTATCTCTCTTGGGGAATGATTTTTCACTGTCTCTGGCTAGCATGTGTGCTGAATAGCAAAAACCTTTTAAAAATTTATATATATTTGTGTGTGTGTGTATATATATAAATTTTTCTGTTTATAGCCTTACAGCTATCCCAAACTCCTAGAATTTTGGTCTTCCTGAACAAGGGCTGATCACAATGTTAGTCGTTCTCTAAATCCCTTCAGTTTTCTCATGACCTAGACTGGTACTATGTTCAGCCACAGACACGCATGAAGTTAGTGTTTTCGTGTTGCCTAGGCTGTGCTCGGTTCACAGAGAGGCTGTGTACGTGAACCCAGGAGTGCTCTTTCAGCACTCGCGGTCTGAGCTCTCCACCTTCTCAGCCCTGGACATCCTGGGCTTTTACCTGTTCACACACCTCAAGTCTGGGAGCTCCTAGGGGCAGAGACTCTGCCTAGCACATACTGAGTGCTCGGTAAGTTCTTTTCAATCCATGAAAGAAAGAAGGCAGGCACACTTTATTGGGATTGATTTTGTGCAGGGGGCCTATCACATCTCAGAATAGTCCCCAGAAATCTATGTTGACCTTCGGTCACCCTGAAATAGAACGCCCCTAGGAGAACTATAGTTCCCGTCGCCCTGGCGCTGCGGCCAGGCCATTGGAATTCCAGCTTGGAGTTCGGAGCCTTGGCCTTCCAGAGCAGGGCTGCACTTCTCAGCTTCCTGCTGCCCCTGGGCCTTGGCTTGCCTCTGCCAGGGTGCTCCTGTGAGCTGGAATTGGGGTGACCCTGGGACTGGAGCAGAGGAGGGAGACAATTGGAGGGGGGAGGGAGGGATGCCAATCTGTATCAGTTACTGGCTCGGACTGTGGGCCCTTCTCCCTAGGCCTGGTGGTGCAGGGTGGAGGCGAGATGGGCTGAAACTGTTTAAGGTCTCTTCTCCCTTCTCTCACAGTCCCTGCCTCCATGAAGGTGAGGTGAGAGCAGGTGTGTAGGGAGAGTGGGCAGGGCTCCTACCAGGACTCAGGCCCGCTCCCAGCCCCAGGGCCAAAGGCAGGTCCGAGTATGAAGGTTTCCTGTGCTCTTTGGCATCAAGTGGGTTTCCTGTACCCTGCGAGTTTCTGAGAGGAGCACTCTGTCTTGGCAACTCGAGATGCTGGTAAGAATTACCTGCAAAGCCTGGACACCAAAGACTCCTCCTAACCAGAAAATTGCCCCTGAGGATGGCCCTGGGGGAGAGGGAGCTGGTCCTCTGTGCTCTTGAAAGGCCAGGGCATGCCGTGCGCCTCCATCAACACTGGCCTCCTGTTAGCTCTGTGTGGGTTCAAGTGCACGGTCGTCATCTGTTTCGGCTCTGGCCTGCGTACACGTTGGCAGGGTGCTGTTGAGGGCTGCTTGGGAGCGCTTCCACTGCACATCCTACACCTCGTGTCAGTCCTCAGGACAGTTCCTGAGATGTCCCAGGTTGGGACCCTGCACCCAGTGAACTGGGTCAGCCGGCCCATCTGTAGCTCCCTCTCCGACCTTGTGTGCGCAGCTCTGATAGGCAGACTGGGCTGGCTTCTGTGACCAGGCCTCGCCCACCTGCAGGACTAGGTCCTCTCTCGCCAGCTGTCCAGGGCCCCTGTCCCTATAACGCTGGGCCCTGCTAGCCCTCACCAGTCTTCGAAGGACCTGACGTGTGGCTTCTGCCTGGGATGGGGCTGTCCCTGAGCCTGCCCCCAGCTTCTGCTTGACCCCTTTTATGGGCTGCTCTTCTGAGACTCTCTACCTGTTCTCGCTCCGTTTGCCTGGTAACCCTCAGCGGCTTTTCCTGAACCAAG